ATATAATATAAAGAAAAAAATCGGAGTTGCTGCATAGGCAAAATATAAATAAAACACGTGGTAGATAATTTGCCTTGATATTTAATGAGAAAACACGCGGAGATCGGATTTTGTCGTGCTTTCACAATATGCTTTGAGGCAATTGAACTACTACCTACAATATAAATAAAACATATATAAACATAAATATATATACTTATGTACTATATAAGTTTATATTATACATAATTATATATAATTATATACATATTTTTTTTAAATTTAATGAAATAAGTATACAGTTAATGACGATTTAATTGCTAGATATTTTTTAAAAATTATAATATTACTATATTTGGAATGATTCGTTAACAAAATACTGTACATTAATATTTAACGTTGACACATGTCATGTTCTAGTGTTTTGTCAGACGATATTCTGCCAATTAAAATAAATACATCGGCTAGATCAAACTAGATCACGTGCCCGGGATTAATCGTCGATTAGTCGCCTTCGTATTCAGTGACTATTTCAATAAGTTTGCTAATACAATCAGTTTGCTAAACTATTATTATTACAAACTATTATTATTACAACTATAGCGCTACTGCTGTGACTTCAATTGTTTATCATTTAGCAGAATTCATTGTACACTTGTATCGATTATTCAAAGTAAACATTCTAAATTAAAACACTTTAGCTGTAGTAATTTACCTATCCCTGTTGTTCTCTAGAGATGCGTGATTATATTTCAAATTTAATCGTGATGTTGATCTAAAGTAATGTTTCTGGGCTTGAATCTCCTTCTCTGGGTGTAACATTGGTTGAGACCGTGGTAAATTCCGTCTTTTGACACATACCGACGATTCCTTTAAAGTGTTTTTTAAAACTATCAGTGGCGAAGGCATAAATAATTGGATTACAACAACTATTCGAGTAGGAAAGGCAAAGACTGAATAGTTTCAACGAGGTTGTAAGCTCAAACAGCTCCGTTCGATAAAAGTCAGATGACCAGAAAGTTTCCAGCATGATTATAATGTGTGAGGGCGCCCAACACACTGCGAACATCAATACCACAATAAAAACCATTCGTGTGATTTTTCGTTTCCTACGAATTGAACGCTCCTGGGCCTGTGCACTTTCGGTTCCGCATGATTTCTTTTGCCACACTTGAATTAATATTTTTAAGTAACATGCGAGTATGACAAGCAAAGGAAATGCGTACAGCATCAGGAAAGATCCCGTGATAAATATTTGCTTTTGATTGTCGACTGGAAATTCTAAGATGCATTCATATTGACAACTTTTAGCTTTTGCGTAAGAAAATACAGGAATCGGGATGTAGATAATCAATGATGCTATAAAATAAAAAAGAAAGAACAGAACTGTCAATAAATATATTAACATAACATAGGCTTATCAAAATGTGTGATACCAACAATAAATGAAACTAATTTCAAACCGACAGTAGATGGCTGAAGCCCTTTACGTTTTTGCAAATTTAATGTAGTAGCCTACATATAGTTAGTAGACAATAATAATAACAATAATAAATAATAATAATAATAACAATAATAGTGTATTTTTATATAGCGCACATATCTATCTAATGTAAGATGCTCAGGGCGCTTGACATGTGGACTAGGAACTCGATCAATGACTTTCTTTGCCCTAAGGGTCCCTCGTGTCTGTGCTACCCGGTAACCAGGTACCAGCAACTCTCGTCGTCCACCACAGGGGCTCTGTCCAGTACACCGGTGTATCCCCTAATCGTCTCGAAGGATGTACTGGGTTCTTTATAATGCACACGAACCATTGTATACACTGGGCCTACGGTTTATAGTCCTTATCCGAAAAAGACTTGTTCTACCACCAGAACCATAAGCGAGCGTGCCGCTCGAACCATCGCCGATATTATGGCTATAGCTTGCGGCGCTCCTGCTAACCGCTCGGCCATTCGACTTACATTTGTTTTGTCTAGGACATCTTCTTTGGATAAATGGCTTTTATTACAGTATTTGACCCAAGTACATATAAATACAACGATTACAACGAACGAAATATAAAGTTTAAGCCAAAATTGATGTTTCTTATTCGATAATTCTGTCCCATTCTTTTTTCAAGGATAGTACCAACATACATGATTGTATCTGTAGGTTCTAGGGCTTGGCCGGGCCGGCACTGGCACGCAGTGATATTCAGCAATTTTGTTGTGTTGGCTTGTGAAGCGGTTGGCGGGTTTCGTGTCTATGCAAGCTCCTCATCTGCCTTATTTAAAAAAAATATATTCATATTTAGGCCTATAGGTCTGATTGTAAATTATATTGCAAGGCATTTTTGAAATTGAAAGCAAGAAAGACAGAGACGGAAAGAAAGATTATTTTACATTTCGCCTTAGAATAAATGACATTGATCTTTCCCATTATGTCGTGCTTTGTTGTTAATTTATTTAATAATCTTATAAGAAATAATCGGCATGAAGCTGTAATAACATACTTACCTATCCACGCACTCACGTCAAGTAGCAGAACCTTTTTTGTTGTGCGAGTGTTACGTGAACGGACCGCATGTACCACTAATTGGTAGCGGTCGATTGACATGGCCGTCAGAGTTAATATCGTAGCCTGCACTGTCACCTGAAAGATATTACAATTTTATTCATCAATAATAAGTCATTCGAATAATAGTTTAACATATCAAAACGTTGTTGTTGTGTTCAATTGGGCGATTCATCCTTGGCTGTTACCGACCGACATTATGTGCTTGAATAAATTCGTTTAATTGGCTTAATTATGTAGTCTAATAAATACACAGGTGTATATTAATTATCTGGTTCTTATTTTTCTTTCATGAGGTAAACATGATTTTTCAACTCAACTTTCTCTAGCTGTATTATTACAGATTATGTGTCTCAGCTAAACTGTTATTTTCAAATTATTTATTTAACAGTTTTACGTAACATAATAAAGTTGTAGTCAGAGGTGGCGCCGTGGGAGGGGCCGTAGGAGGGGCCTCGGGGGTGGGAGGGCCCCCCTTCGAGGAAAAAAAAAAACAATTCATCGGGGAGAAATAAAAAATGTATATGTATTTTTTATATATTAGATTAAATAAGCTTTTAAAACCCCTAAACTGTTATTATTATTATTATTTTCTTGGTTGGGGGGTGGGGGGAGGCTTCGCCTCCTGGAACACTTCAGTGAGATTTTGAGCGGCGTCCAACCACGCCCGCTTTCTTCGTCGGGGACATCGTCCCACCCTCGCCGACGGCAAATCCTGGCGCCAAACGCCCTTTAACGTAATTCCTGACTAAACAACGTTGCAAGTGGTTCTGCAACATTTGTTAAAATTATCTTCTAAGATAAAGTTTACAATGTTACAATGAATTTCGTAATAAAGTTTTGTATTTACTGGAGAAGTACCGTACAGATAAACTCATTTAAAATAACTCTTTGACATACAAGGTTTTCAAAGAGTGTTTTTATCTGTTTGCTGCCTAACCGTATGGTAGTCATGAACTTTTAGCAATTTTATACCCATCGAAGAAACAAACTCTAAACTCTTGGATTATCTGGTTGCTATGCTCAGCTAATAAAACTTAATACTAATATTAATGATCTCTGTCAGAAAATGTTAGTGTCAAATTTAGATGGTACAGCAAGGGGCCGAATTGTCGTGCGCCCTCAACGATTTTAGTACTTCATAACAATCAATAACGATAGCGACAACAAAAAAACAATGACAATAGCAATCCGTGAAAAGAAAAGAAATATAAAAATAGCAATTGTAGAAAATGAAGAACAGGACAAAAAAAAAAGAAGAAATGAATTAAAACGGGTATTAAATATAAATTATAATACAAAATTAATAATTGTATAATAAATTTATTAGGTAAACAATTATTATTATTATTACAGTATTATTATTAATATTATTATTATTATTGTTAATAATAATAATAGTAGTAATAATAATAATAATAATAATAATAATTATTATTATTATTATTATTATTATTATCATCATTATTATTATTATTATTATTGTTATTATTATTCAGAGTGTGCGGACGTGCCAGTACACCCGTTACAAACAATCTATTATGTATCCTTTTATATTTTAGGGTAAAGAGAGACAAGCGTAGACGAAGTGCGTCAATGTATATTATACGGCGTGGACCTCTGAAGGTTGAGAGTCCATGACAGCTGCGCCAAGTATTGCTACATTAGCTTTTAATGAAAAATCTAAATATAACTTATTAAATTATAGCCCTAGTCTTGCAACACCAAATTTTGCCATAAAAAACTATGTAGAATTCCATTTTTATTTCGCCAAATACCCGAGCCGTTAACCTGGCGTTTGACAATCTCTCACAAACTTCCGCTAGGTGTCATCATATAAATACGATGTAGTTGCAGTTTAAAAATAAACCATTTTGCCCACAGGGAATTAAAGAACTAAGCAAATATAATTATACACATAGTGATATAAGGACAAAATGGTTATTCTGAGTTTATTCCGTGAAAGCAGATGGTTACTTACTAAATACTAAAAGTAGGCCTAAAAACGTATTTTTTGTTAATAAAAATTGCACTAATTTGAACATCATGCAGCACTTCTCTTTTTAAATGTATGCCTAGGATCATTTGTATTAAAGATAGAGATTTATCTTTATAATAAGGATAGAATAGCAACTGAATTCGAATACATATTATCTTAGTGAACCACATTGATATCAACACATATTAAATAAATACCGTCATTTTGCTACTAAAATTAGAAATTAAGAAAAAAAAAATGATATAGTACTCACAAACATCATATAATTCATGCCTCTACACATGGCTGAGTTGGGGTTCCATCCCATGTAAACTGCTGCCGTTGGTATAGTACAGACCACCAGAAACGTTATGTCAGTCGTTGCCAAATTTCCAATGAAAAAGTTCGTCACAGATCTCATGTCGTTGTACCGATAAATGATGAACAACACAATGGCATTGCCAAGTAAACCAATTACAGAAATCACTGTTAGAATCAGAGGAGCAACTATTTTAAACACGTTTAAATAGCTTTTTATATTTGGAGGGAACGATAATTCTATATCCTCACACGTAAAATTAAGTAAGTCGTACACATCATACGCTTCAGCCGTTTCTACGCCAACTTCGTCCGCGGCAGCCATGGCAAATGGTACATTATAGAGTTTCTCCGCCATAATCTCAGTTCTAATTATTGTATTATGGTATAGGATACAGCGTCCGTCAATGGTGTTTCTGCATAGCGGTCAGCCGAATAAATGCGGCTGTTTTGATTTTAAATTCAAACTGCCAATTTCCTCAAGGGCGGCCGTTCTCATTATCTCTGCTGCGTACTGAAGTTCCGCAATTAGGTGTCAGTCATGAGATCAAAAAATAATGGTGAAACTAAATCATTTTAGCCGTATATCGCGTATGTTAATTGCTCTCTGCCTGTATCTTCCGTGTAACGAGGCTATAATGGTTATTAAATAATATTCCACTTTTGCATCATATCTTTTAAACTTCCATTATTATCTACAGAGAGAGAAATTGAAAACGCATTAATATACCGTAATAATTCTAATCTTCAATCTGTAAATAAGCGCACAATGGTATCGTTTACAACAAATTTATTATACAATTCTCTCTTATACAATGAAAATATACTAGTACCAGCCCAGGGAGTATTTCGTGGTTCAAGCTTAATAAAATAGTTTCCTAGACCAGACAATTAATAATATATTAATATTGACACAATCCCTAAGTTATATAAAGTATTATCTAAAGCACCATCTACCGGTACACCTCCATTAAATGTGAGCGTACGCTATTGATACGGATGATAGTGCGTGTATTACCGTCCTATGTATCTAATGCCTTCAAAACGTTAATATAACTTGTAAACGGTAAAGAGGGATTTTCGAGTTTGAAGGAATTGTCCCAATCGATATTGCGTCTACATACATGAAATATATGAATAAACAAACCTATATAAATGAACCTATATAAAAAGCATGTGTGTGTGTGTGTTATATAGGTATATATGTATTTATATTCAACCTAGCATGACCTTAGATTTACTGTGTGAACAATTGACAGTTGTATGAGACAAGGTGCCTGTGGGTTAGATCTGCGCCTGTATTGTAAAGGTTTAACGGTATAACTCTCGTCTATAGTGGGAGGATCAAATCCCACCAGGACAATTTTTCATACAACGATGAAAAGCTATGCCTGATACGATTATCATAATCATCATGTTCCCATTTGAGTACTTATTTATCTTTATTTATAAGTTTATATAGGAAGTATATAGTGTTTGAATAAAGGACATAAATACATGGTGTAGCATAGCTCTAAACGAAATGTCATATAAATATACATTTTGTAATAAAATGTATGCGACGGGATTTGAACCTGCGACCTCTCGCTGTCAAGGCGAGCGTAATAACCATTAGACCATAGAGGCTTCATGATTGAACAGATTTAAATAACGTCAGATACACTCCATTAATTTCTTTCTTTATTTATAGGACAACATTCGTGTTAACAGTGTTAACAACTACCTTATTTGTATTATATGCTAGGCCTATTATTTGTTCCAGATGTACCTATTGTGTAATGGAGTGTATCTGACGTTATTTAAATCTGTTCCACCACGAAGCCTCTGTGGTCTAATGGTAATGGCGTTCGCCTCGACAGCGAGAGGTCGCAGGTTTGAAACCCCTTTGGAGGCATTTTATTACACAATTCATTCATTCATTCATTCATTCATTCATTTAGTTAATAGGAGAACAGAGCTCTACACGATATTATGTCCTATATCCGAACACTGTATTTACCTTCCTTTGATGATTTATATATAATATTAGGCCTATGCAGTATCTTTTATAAGGCCAGCAAGTCACCTTGCTCTTAACTATTTAGTACAGTAAGTCAAAGCTAAAGAATGTTCAATTCACAGAAGCTTAAAAGGCTTGTTCTTAGATTGTTATTACCTAACAGCTTTTGATCTTAATGGTATAGAATACCATTCTACAAAAACCGTAATATAATAAAAATTTGCTATAAAATGAAGACGATGCTTAAATTGTATGGTTAATTTACATACTTTGACCTATATAACAGTCCTGCACAGTTTGAAACTGCAATAAGTCTCATGTATTTGTGTTAGGCCTATAAAATGTAATGCGTATAATGTTTCAAATAATGTGAATTGTTAGGCAGACATGATCCACTCTTTAAGTCTGAAATGCTTTGTAAGCACAACAAAGTAATAAAGACATTAATAACGGCACTTGGTGGTATTAAAATATACAGTAAAATAGTCGGAATCGAATACTAATTTAGAAGATATTATATTTAATGTATAGTCGGAATTGTTGAAATGAAATGACACAATTAGCCCTACACAATTATTAACCTTCATTCAAAATCATATTACTTTGTTTTTTCATCCCTCATTCCGATAGGGTTACATTGAAAAATAACACGATAAGTAGTTCATTGCCATTACATTATTACGAATATTAATATTTTATATTTAGTCCAATATAGTAAATGGATATACGCGTGTTTTATTAATGCGCTGCATAATTATTTATCAAGTAGCATTCTTGTGTTGATGTATTTTCTCTAATACCAATGGTGTATCACTATCAATCATTGCCAAATGTTCGAACCATGAACTTTCAATAATAAAAAAAATGGAGTCAATGAGTATGCTCTGATTGATAGCAAATACATAACCCTTCGTCACTTCATTTGGCAAATGCGTTGTCTAATTGTATTACGCCATTTTTAACACATACAGGTTTAAGCGTACTTTTCTGCATACTACCTTCTCCAGGATGTGTTTATGACCAAAGGTCCATAAAAGTATCAATGAAAATTATATTTAAGTTTGCTATCAACGAGGTGCATCTGCCTACAATTCTGCATCATCATATCTTACTGTTTTGATAATCTCTAGACCCAATGGGCCCCGAAAAATAGGCCCCCGAACACCAGGAAATATTACCGAAAACCTTGTTGCATGTTTTAGCCACAGAGTAGTTAGGCCCACTTGTAATTCCAGCCCCAGGCCCCACAGCCCTTTAATCCGGCCCTGACTCTGATGTGGTGTGATTGAACTTCTCAGTATCTTTGAAGTGCAAAAAGGCGATCTATAAAGCATGACAACGCACACCGGGCTTATCTAACACTATAGTTCTCATATAATAATAATAATATCATTTCGATTAGCGCATTAATCATTATTACAGCACTTGCAGTTGTATAATCATTGATCATGTAACTATAGATTGGAAAATGCTACAACAAATTGCCACAACATCCTACTTATACAACTGATTATTATCCTAGTTTCGCCATATTGGATTTTTTTTAATAGTGCCCCAACAGAGGGTCCCTCTTTTGGCTGCTGGCATCCTACTGAAATTTAAAAATAGGCGTGGACAAATTATAGGCCAAATTTAATGTATTAAGTTAATGTATACAAACATATCTCTAGAAGCCTTCCCCCTACCAAACAAAACTCATGTTAATCCCAACATTTAGAGCTGCATACAGTAGCATGCTAATGGTAGCCACTTTTTAGATCTTTTTATACATTTAATTCCTTGTTGATTGATTGCTGCTCTTCTTGAGTTTCAGTTGGAGGCTTTGAATGCAAGTTACAACAGCGCATCGACTTTGGAAAACGACATTCAGGCAGCTAGTTACATGTCCAATGTTCATGAGAACAATTTCAGTATAATAAACGAGCAGGGAATTACTCATGCTTCTATTAATTCAGTTGGGATACTCAAATATAACATAACTTCGTAGTTTAATTTACAAGTCTACGACAGGCACGTTACAGGGTGGTAAAAGTTTATGGCTTATCCAAATCCTCCTTTTTACGAGCGTGAATTTGATGGCTTATTGATTGATATTTTGTAAGACAAGGTGGAAATTGGTACCTAATGTATTTGATCAATTTAAATGTTAAATAGACACGAATCTAATGTTAAGTTGAAATTAAATTTTCATGTACGGCGCATATTTAAGCGGGTAGTCAGACCAACGCTTTTCCAGTGCAGATTTAAAGGTGTTCAAAGAAACAGAATTAACGTCCTCCTCAGACAAAGCATTCCGAGGAACAACACGTCTTCTAGAGAAACAACCCAACCTCAAATTAGTTTTAGAATACTGGTGATACAGTTTAAAAGAATGACCTCGTGTATTTCTAGAAGTTTTAAAATCAAAAAACAAATCCACGGAAATATTGTCAAATCTAAAAGTCTGAAGAATATCAGCTCTCTGCTTACGATAAGTTAAAGTTGGAAAATTTAAGGTTCGCAATATTTCTTGATATGGTAAATGTCTAATCTCTTGAAACCTTCGAGAAGCACGTTGCTGAATTCTTTTTTAAAGTTGATCTTCATCTTTTTCGAACTTACAAAATTACAGTACTCAAGAGTGTGTCTCACAATAGCTTTATGCAATCTCAAAAGACCTCTAGTTTAAATTAAAAAAACGAAACGACCTCTTGATCATACCCAGTTTCATATTAGCACGTTTGGTTACATCGGCAGCATGTGCAACAAATCTCAATTTAGGATTAAATGTTACGCCTAAATCCTTCTCTTTTCCACTAATTCAAGCTCAATGTTATTAATAAAATAAGAACAATTTTGGGTTATGCGTTCCATAATGAATAACTTTGCATCTTCATTAAAGGGCATCTGCCATTTCAAAGACCAAGCATACCAAGCATCAATATCAGCCTATGTCTGTATTGGATTCCACAATCCTATAAAGTTTGGTGTCATCAGCAAATAGTTTAACATCAGACACAGCAACCCGCGGTAAATCATTGATAAACATAATAAAAATGATAGGTCCAAGAACACTACATTGTGATATTCCACTGAGTACACGAGAACGACAGGAAAGATGACCATTGACAGAAACATGTTAACTTCTCTCTGAAAGGTAAGCACTTATCTAATTTAAAAGTTTTCCTCTAATACCAAAACCAAATATTATACAGATATTTTTTTTTTCAAAAGACGTTGATGGGGAACAGAATCAAAAGCCTATTTGAAATCGAAATAGATGCAATCAAAGCTATGAAACTCATCAAATTCAAAAAATTTAGTCGATTGTCCAAGAACCTCTAGCAACTGGGTTGCACAAGGGCGACCTTTTCTTAAACCGTACTGCTCATTACAAAAAAAAATAATTAACTCCGAAGTGGTCCATAATATTATTACTAATGACGCGTTCCATAGTCTTGGCAACAATAGAAGTTAAATTAACAGGCCTTTAGTTCGATTGATCATCCATTTTACCTTTTTAAAGATGGGAACCACCCAAGCCTCTTTACATGACTGAGGAGCCGTGCCCTCATATAACAACTGTCAAAAATTACGGCCAAAGAAAAGGATAATTAGAAACGAAGTTCAAAAAAGGACTCGCGTAAATGCCTTTAGGCCCAGCTGATTTATTAATGTTTAAAAATGTTAACTTTTTTTTCAAGTATTCCTTCTTTT